TTTTGTATCTCTTAAATAAGAATTATGAACTGGGAAAAGATACTGATATTTTCTTTCAAGACGTGTGTGACATAAGTCTGTTTTGAAAGAAATATTGATTTTAAGAAATGTTTCTCCAGGACGTGTGTGACGTAAGTCTCTTCTGGCATGAAACTATGTTTTAAATGCTTCTCCAAGACGTTTGTGACGTAAGTCTGTTCTGGCATGAAACTATGTTTTAAATGTTTCTTCAGGACGTGTGTGACGTAAGTTTGTTCTGGCATGAGACTATGTTTTAAATGTTTCTCCAGAACGTATGTGACGTAAGTCTGTTCTGCTATGAAACTAAGTTTCTTCAGAACGTGTGTGACATAAGTTTGTTATGATTTGAAACCATGTTTAAGGTGGAAACAAGGGTGACATATCAAGGAGAGGTGTACCTATGGATATAAAGGAGACAATTGCAGGTGTGATTAAGATTATAACTCTTGTTATTATCACCATAAGATGTGACAATTCTAAATCATCATTTCTCTATGACTTGATGACTTAGAGGTATTACTCTTATTGAGATAATAACATTGATGTTATTGAGAAGTGGAAAATGATTTATAAACAGAGACATTAATTGCCCATGATTTATGGTTTTGATGAAATCTAATATTTGAGAAGACACAGAGGAGTTCTGGTTGATCTTCAAGATGGACCTGAAGACCTCTGGTCGTGTGAAAAATCTTTCAAGTATTTCATGAAATTTTATGACCCAGAGGCTTTGTATGTACTACACAGAGACTCTGTGTTAGGAAAGATTCTGTGTCATAGCTCTGTATCTGAGCTCCGTCTTTTAAAACTAAATCTTTTATAAGTCAAATCATTTTAAATATCTCTTATTAATGAGATAAAGAACCAGAGGAGCTCTGGTTGTAGTTTTATTAATCTTTTCTTTAAAAAACAAATGTTAGTGTTTTTGGATCAAAGACTATGGTTATCTAAAGGATCTCTGATTAAGTTAGTCTTATAATGTTGGAATAAGTATAGAGGAGCTCTGGCCTGTTGAGTCAGATGATATCTGGCCCGTTGAGGCAGAGGAGTTTTATGACATTGTGTTTTGTAAGAAACACAAATATAAGGAAGTGTGTATTTATGTTATGAGTATATGTTTGTTTTATAGTTTGAGTAGCAAGTACATTGGCATACTTTTGCTGAAATTTATTTATTTATTTGCAAAAGATGTTTTAAACAAGATTTGGTGATCTTCACCCTATAATTGCAAAGAAAGGATTTTTTTTCACTGGACCTTCTGGTCTAACCCTTATTTTTTATTTTGAAAATGTGCATTGCAGGAACAGCGGGGTCTCAGGATATTAAGGGAAAAGAGAAAATATGATTATTTTTCTTATGTGTTTATCTGCCTTTTGAAGATCAACCTATTGCTTGTTATATTTTGAAGATACATATTGACATACATGTGATAGTATAGGGATATTTTTTTGAAATTTTTCAGTTGTAAATTCTGTATATAGAATCCTTGTACTAGTGGGACCTTGTGATGTAAATCATATTTCTTTTATAAAATTCATGTTATATGTAAATGTGAAAGTTTGGGGTGTTACACGTTGTTTTATACTAAAAAATATTTATCTACATTTCTTTGCTTTTGAAAAATGTACGATATTTAATTTCAATGATAGTTTAATTTTTATACTATGTTTGAAATTAATATAGTTTAGGTATTAAACTATTTTTGAGATTATTAATTTAATATAGTTTAATCATTATACTATATAGTTCAATTAAATTTTGTATTATAAATTTAATATACATTTAAAAGATATTAAATTAAATGAAATATCTAAAAACAATACAATTTTTATTAATAGGCAAAGATAAAGTTTCAATTTTATTTCATGTAAATAAGAAAAAAAGTACACTTTTTAAACCCAACTTAAAATAAACAATGTTCTTTTAGATCAGTGTAGACGGATTTACAGATATGTATATATGGTAAATTACATATAAATTTAAAAATATTCAATAACTGACTCATGACAAGATTTTTTAAAATTGAGGTATAATTTATAAAATAAAATACGTATTTTTAAGATTAAAATTATCATATAATCAATTAATATAATAATGGTAGAAAATGAAAAATAAGAAATAAAGGAAAAAAGATAAACCACAAGGAACAAGACAAAAAAATGTTAACTAACTAAAGTTAGTAAGAGAAACCGAAAGTGAAATAAAATGGCAACCATAATGATTAAAATTGTAATTAGATGAAAAGACAGACCAAATTTGATAGTGAGCGGTAACGACAATGATCAAAAATGTAATTTACTCTATTATAAAATATAATAACTTTGGTTCTTTCTTTGACTTTGAAATAATAATTAACTTTAGGACAGGTTTGAAATAACATTTTACTTTTGGTTCCATTGTTTTTATAAATGCAATTACATTTTAATAATAAGTTTTGGAGTTTATAACGAGCATAAATTTCATACTCTTGATTTACAAAAAAAGTTTACTTCCTTGCATATTATGCGGGTACCCAAACTAGTATATTATAAAGGAAAATTGACTCAAATGACTATTTTCACATTTAAATTGGTCTTCCAATCATTTCTCTCTCGGATTTACTCAAATGTCACTACTTTCGCAGTATTAGCTAAAAGACAAAAAAAATTCAAATTCAACCAGTTTACTGTCGTTATCGCCAACACAACTATCGCAATTGCGGGCCTGGCCATCACAATTGCAGATTTGTGTTGAATTTGATTTTTATTTTTCCTTTTAATTAATATTGCGGACATGACTAATATTGCGGAAGTAGTGATATTTGGATAAATCCACGAGAGAAATGGTTAGGAGACCAATTTAGATGTAGAAAACGGTCATTTAAGTCCATTTCCCTACCATAAATAATTAAGTAAACTCTTTACCTTGACGAGGTTGAACCTTAAACTTTCTAAAATACTAGATTTACTGAAAACTCAAATACCGCTTGATCAATTACATTTTGTTATGTTGATTAATTTAGGGAAAATTGCATCAAAATGGAACAAACTTTCATCTAATTCATATTTTGGGGAACCAACTTTTAAAATCGTCATTTTGGGAAACCAACTTGCACCTGATTCCTATTTAGGGAACCAACTTGCAATACAATAAAATCTATTTTTCATTTCAAATTTCGTTTTTTTAATTCAGATATCAAATTGAACATTTTAAAAAAAATTCCAAATTACCACAATAAAAATTATTTTTTACTAATGCAAAAAAAATCAATTTAATATAAAAAATTAACTGATGCAATTGGTTAGATATAAAAATCTTGAATGTGATATTTAATATTTATTTTTTATTGCATCAATTAATTTTTTTTTCTATTAAATTGGTTTTTTTGTGTTAGTAAAAAACAATTTTTATTGTGGTAATTTGGATTTTTTTTTAAAATGTTCAATCTGATATCTGAATTTAAAAAAACGAGATTTGAAATGAAAAATAGATTTTATTGCATTAATTTTTGAAAAAAAAACGAATTTTAGTTATTTTTCTATAATTATTTTGTAAGTTGGTTCACCAAAATAGGAATCAGGTGCAAGTTGGCTTCCCAAAATGACGATTTTAAAAGTTGGTTCCTTAAAATAGGAATCATGTGCAAGTTGGTTCCCCAAAATAACGATTTTGAAAGTTAGTTCCTTAAAATAGAAATTAGGTAAAAATTGATTTCATTTTGATACAATTTTCCCATTAATTTATCATGCGAGTGAAACAATTGTTTGCATGTTTATTGTCTATTACATATCCTTCCTTCATTGGCCGTAAGTTAAAGGGTTAATCAATCTCAAAACCCTCTTTCAAAATGGGTAGAGACCATGCTTTCTTTTTGGTGTGATTTCTTCTAGAAAAGAGCGCTCGTCTTATTGGTCAGTTCAATATCTCTTTTTCTTTTGTTAATTATAGATGTCCAGGACAACTTATACACACCTTGACTAATTATAGGGGTCCTAGGAAGAACAACCAGAAAAATCCCCCCATGAGATGATCTCTACCCGTTATCTTTTCCCCTTTTTTTTGTTACAAAGAGTCTTTTTCTAGTAAGCATCCAAAAGGAGCATTACAATCTTTGAATTAAGGAATTCCATTTAGATGAAACGTCTTGGAATAGTGGCTTGTTTAGAGTACAAAAACGAGTACGACGATTGGAAAAGATGACCTCAATTTAATGATATGAAATGTTTATATGCCAATTGTTACTTGTTTGCGTGCACTCTTTCACAAGCCAGCCAAGAGTCTATAGAAGCAATTGCTCTACTTTTCGAAATAGAGGTAAGGTCTTCATACATCTCCACCCGACCCTACTTTTAAGTGAGATTTACGAGGTTGGTTTGGTTTGGAAATGCTTATACTAGTTATATATTTTGAAGAATTAGAAAGTAACTTGAAAAAGCATGATGGGTAAACATAGATTATCTAGTTTAACATACTCTTCAAAATGATACAAGATCTTCCTGATGGAGAATTTGGCACACAACTCTATTGGCAACTCATTTTTTTAGCATAAACCCCACTTTTTGTGCTAACCATCATCGTACAGCGGGACTTTGAAGAAAATGTCACTTGCGACATGATCGAAACCATAGTGAGCGAGCAAGCAGCAGGTTTCTTATTGTTCAATCAGACACAGAAAATGAGCCCTTATGGCATACCATTATTCTCTTCTCTTTCTGACCCATATAAGCTGAAAATGGTCTTGTAACCACATGAAGATCCTCTTATTCGGTTTTGAATTGAAACAGGAATGATTCATAGTCTCATTGGCATAATTTAAGTTTCTAACCACCGCGTCAACTATATCTGGATGGTTTCTGCTACAACCTAGATTCTTGTAAATGGTTTTTACAGAAGAGGTGTAGCATGATGGATACCTGTGGTGAACATTACTCTTAACTTCCACCCGTCTGACCACCGCTTCCTTTGGAGGCAGACGACATACCTTGTTCAATACACTGGAAAACCGTAAAGTTCAGGGATCAATCAGAGGGAGAGACGAAAAACATCCTAGTATTAACTTTGATGGGAATGAAGAAACCCAAAACAAGGTAAACAATATCACCAATTCTAGTTGACCTGCATGCCGCTTAACAATTTCAAGATATTGACTTTAGCATTGATTCGACTTTCAATTGCGAAGGAATTAAGCTCTTTTTGTTAAACCATATGAGCATTTAGGGCGCATTTGCTAAGCAGACGGGACCCGACAGGTTGGGAAAGCTGGCATGAGTGAGGTAGGTGCTGAACGAATTGTGGAAGGTCTTTTGGGTTTTAATTTGACATAGGTAGTTTACTAATTTACCAATCTTTTCTCATCTCCCAGATTTTTGTTCCACCTATTTTGGCGACTTGGGTCTGGCAAACATGGGACAACAAGTTTGCGTACTGGTCATATCCAGTCACGTCCTCATACCAAACTCACCCTTACAGATCAATATCGCCAATGCTAAGTGAGCATACAACAGCATTTTATAGGAATAAATCAACCCCACAAAAACAACCTCCTCAAACTAGTTGGGGGTAGGCAAAAGAAAGTATGGGAATGGGAAGATGGACCAGCCAAGACTGAAGTACCTGAAGAAGATGATTGTGCAGCCAATCAAGTGTTTGTGGGAATGTTGTAGCAGATATATTAGCAACTGTCAATCCCTGCTCACAGATTTGACAAATATTAAATCCTCATCAACATCATCCATATCAGCTTGCAATGTAATACTTCAATGCCAGAGAAGAACAAGTGATGCGAGTGTACCTGTGACTTGAATGAGCACAGATAGTCTTGAATGGTTTTCAAGTTGCTAATCAATTTATCTTTTTCCTGAAAAATGCTCAAAAACAAGAAATGTGCGATTTACTGTTTTCCTAAACCGACAACATATAAATAAAACAGAAGAACAAGGTTTAAAAGAATTCCCAAAAAGAACAAGTCAAAGTTGTCTCATCCTCTCTAGAAAAATAAAATAAGTAAATATCCTATTGGATAGAATATGTTGAATTATTGCATCGACTGCCCTAGTGTAGGCATAGCAATTGACTTATTTAACAAGCCCAAGTATAAATATTGTCCCAGATTGAGCTGATGGCTTCGGTATACCAAAGAATTACCACGTAGGGGGATAGAACCAAATAACACAAAGCTAAATGCTTCATGGCAGCTCAATTGCAAGTTTGCAACACTCTTCTGACGAAGCTATTTGTATTAAAAAGTGCCGGCTAACGAATGAGCAAAATAGCAATTCAAAGTGCTACACGACGCTCCATAAGTTTTTTCATACCTGGATTGGATATTTATCACTGAATTTTCGACTAGATATCCACTCCTCTAGTAATGCCTGCAGATAAGAAGAAAAAGGGATTTTGATGAAATTTCTTAAAAAGATATAACTATAGGAATTGTTTAAACACCAAACATCAAAGCAGGAGGAGACCTATATTATCAATGAAGACAAAATACACCACCCCTCCTCTCCCTTCGACACACAAACAAGATAGTGCATCAAATACTTGACAATTCAATTTGTGCTAACATAGAAATGTATTAAGGTAGCATAACATCTTGTTACCTTATGGTCGAATTCTGCCATTTTTAGGACTATCGGAATTATTACTGGTTCAGTTACCCCAGATTTTTCTCTTCTTAGAATAGGATTCCTATCTGCTGCCTCATCTTTCGTTTTGTCACCTGAATGGCCAAAGAAACAGTTAAGAGGGGTTGAAATTTCTGCAGATTGCACATTGTAGTCATTCTAGCTGAAGAAGGTTAACATCAACCGGGATTCCGGGAGTATTTGGTGGCAAAAGTGGCCAAAGCCTATGAAGAACAAAAAAATTAAAGCAGTGGTTAGATAAGAGCTAAGTTTTACTAGCAGCAGTATGGTCAACAAGATGAACAGACTTGAGGCGATCTGAAATTTTATCTGACTCTTCTGCAACATTTGCTTCTGTCTTGGAATTCTCAACACTCTGTGGGATATTCTCATCATGAGGGCGAAGAGCAGAAGCATTATTTTGCATACGTTTTATGTCTTTCTCATCCATTTTTGAAGAATTTGACTGTTCTGCTTTCACTGGCACATTATGTGGTGATTTGTTCTCTTCATCCATTAGGTATATACTAGGATCCACATGCATCCCCTGTGAGGCACACTCAATTGTGTCAACATGTGCTTTTCTTTTGGAAGGCAAAAGATGAATGAATGAATTGCGGATAAGAAATAGACAGTTTCTCCAAAAAGATTCAGGCCAATTACCATAACCACATCGGTCGAAACACATGTGGTGGTAGTGTATTCAGAAAAAATTGCATGAATTTAGTACAGACAATCTAGTATCGAAATTTCATTATTACTTGTCATGTCACACACAATAAAGTCAGTATCGACAGCTCATTAACAACACTTAGAAATCTCAGATCTGGCAGCAATTTGTTTTTTAAATTGCAACATGTCTTCTCTCTGTTGAAGCCTAAAAATTACCACTATCAACTTACATAGTTAGTGTGGCCACTTCTTTCTGTCCCTGTGGTTTGGACCTCAATATGAGCATTTTGGGTAGCTCAATATCATCTATGTGAAACAGAGAAGCGGCAGCTTAAAAACCTCAATTTCACAAAACAATGACCAAAGGCATCGGTTTTAGCAAAACATTTGCAAGCTTATGCTTTGCTCACATGATACAGACAAGAACTGTTATAAAAAATCAGGCGAAGGATCATGTGAGGAGAGTTAAAGTGAGAAGCGTAAGAAGGGATCTGGACCGTTGATCACCTTTAATGTCAAACCCACCCATGAATCGCGCTTGATACGAGGATTGATCCGGTCCATCTAGCTGCATCTCATCCTAATGTGCATCCAAGGGTAGAGATCCCTTCTTACGCTTCTCACCTTAACTCTCCTTCTCACCGGAACCCAACCCTCAGTATATTCAGTTCATAAGTTTACAAGACCAAACATCTTTTCTAAGTCCACTTCAAAAGTTCCAACTGCCTACTCTACAGTATGTCCTGAAGGAAATGCTCTCCATCAAATATTTATGTTACATCAAGAGAATTATTTAAAGTCATGTCCATCACCTAGAATAACAAACAAAATACAACTCAGCATGCAAGTCGGTTTAATGCACCTGGAGGTGTCAAATCTCCTAGCAGGCACGTTGTTGTTTGGTAAGGTGGTATGGTGACAAATCTTAATATGCCATTTCATGAAGGCTGTTATCCCCAATACATAGGGAGATAAAATAGGAATCCAGCCATAATCTAATCCCTGTTGGTGAAAAGAAATAAAAATGCGAAATGGGGAGAGATCTTAGAGACACCTTGTTGAACAACACAGTATCAACTAACAATTTTGATAATAGGTCCAACATGCGATTTTTGTACCTCAATAATGATCGGCTTTCCATCTTTCATTGCTTTCTTCAAATCACCAGCCAAACCTACGACAAAACATGATCAAAGAAAATTCCTCAATATTCTTTCCAACTACAACCTGCTTTAACCAGATGCTGTACATTACCTTTCCGAACAATTCTGCATTCTCTGCAAAATTCAGTAATTAGCTCCTCTGAGGAGTTGAAGTCTCGTGCCCAAATAGGTGAAGATGTCAAAGGTGCACTGAGGTAAGTAAAAGGAGTATAAGCCTTCTGATATGCCTCACTATAATACATTAAGCTTCTCTGCAGTTCATAGTTATTATTTTCTAGGATATCACAGCATAGTGAAGAAAATTAACATCCTACGATTGTATTCTGATTTTTTTGATAGGGAGGGGGGAGACCCCTCCAGATCAAGATAAAACACTAAAACGCTAAAACAGCAACAATGAAGCACTCGGGTAGGAGGAAACCTCAACTACCAGAATCTAAGGCACCCCGAGGGGAAAGAAAGAGGGAGACAAAGAAGAAGAAAGACGAGAAAAGAGGGAAAAGGAGAGAAAGAAGAAAGGGAGAAGAGAAGAGGGAAGAGAAAGAGGGAAAGAGAAGAAGAGAGAGAGGAAGAGGGAGAGAGAGAAAGAGAAAGAAGCCGACCACAAGGGAAGGACCCAGCCAAGCCAAGACCAGGAAGCAACGGGGAACACCACAAGGACAGGAAAAGGGGCCTAAAAAAGGCACACCCTAGACCGCACCAAGAACAACAAGAGAGCAAAGGAGCTCACACAAACAAAGAGACAACACAAACAGCTATGGGAGGTTCCAGGCAAGCCTAGCCCGGACAACATTGGGGGAGGGCTTAAAGGTCAGGCTAAGGAGCCTGGACCGGACATCATCAGTAATTGCCTTACCCACCGCAATATGCGATCTTCTTTTGCTTTTGAAGATGCGATTATTTCTTTCTTGCCATAGGTGGTAGACGGTCCCAACAAGCACTAAGCGACGAATGATAGACCATATGGTCTTTCCTTTTGTGACTTGCTGGAACATACCAATAATATCAGCCCAGTTATCCGGGACACCATTGAGGTTCAGCTTGGCTTTTAAACCATTCCAGAGCAGATTAGGGAACGGGCACTTAAAGAAAAGATGCGAATGCGAATCAGGCCCGTTCTGACAGAACGCACAGGACAGGTCGGAATGGGCCTCCCAGAACCGAAGTTTATCATGCGTCTTGAGACGCTGCTTGAGAGCAACCCACAAAATAAAGGCATGTTTGGGGATGCTTTGGGAGAACAAGACTAAATGATGCCAGGAGACATCAGGCTCATTGGGACGGAGGGAGAGCCACACCTCACGAACAGAGAAAGGAGTGAGACGGCCATCCCTAGTTCTCCAGAGGAGCTTATCAGGGGTGGTCGGGGAAAGGACGGGGAGGGGAGAGGCGCGGATAGAAGGGTTGGAATTGTCCCTCGGGAGAGGATACGTCCAATTGCCCTGGAAAACAATATCTCTAACAGAAGCAGAGAGAGAGATATTAGAGTTGAGAATACTCTGGGAAGAGATATGCCGGTAGAGGGGTCCAGCCGGATGCCAGTTATCATACCAGGCAGACGTGGAAGCGCCATCACCAATCTGGGAGACAATGAAGTCTCTATTATATTTGAAAATACAGAGAATAATATGCTCTAATAACAGATTATACATGGATAGTGGCGAAGTCCATCGATGACGGAATGGAAGATGAACTCATTCAATGTGCATTCTTACTAAAGATCAAATGAATGTATGGATTTCAATAATGCAGATGTCACTTGAAAAGGTGATAGAGTCATAAGTTTGTTCAAGTATTTCCTTTATCTTTTCCCTCCATCTCCAAAGAGTTGTGAGTTTTAACACTCCCTCATGTCTAGAACGATACCCCTCATTGTTGGGGACTTGGAAAGTAATAGTATTTGTGCATCAGAAATGATAAAACCATAATTTGCTCGAAGATAAGAACAAGAGGGATGGATATGTTACATACTCTGTCGACGTCCTTAGCAATTCATAAACCATATCCGTCTGTAACATCAAGAAGAATAATGTCAAGGGAGTCCATGTGAAGCACAACTTGAATTGATTATCTCTTTATGTATGCACACATACAAGGATCTGCTTGTACAGAAGTGTGTACCAATAATATGTACTTACAAAATAGAGAAAAAAGGGACGTCTTTATAGAAACATGTAAACAGATTCACCTGCAAAACATTTGGCAAGTTTAGCCTTTGAGCAAGTTGAGTAGCAATTGTAGACTTCCCAACACACGCTGTGCCACATACAAGAATAACCAATGGTACTCTTTGATGGTGAAATCTACAAAGGAGATAAATAGAATAAGCAAGAGAAATAAATTCAGCATTTATAAAATTTGTTTGTTTTTACCACCTTATATACAGTAGACAGCAAAGTACTTACTCCCATGGAACGAATATGATCAATATTATTGGTTCACATATATGATTTATGTAAACTAAAATATTTATTGAAAAAAGTTTCAACATTTATAGAGTATCGTTAATTTGGTTTCCTCAAATATGGCTGTAAATAGTAATTTAATTCATAAATTCTTACGGATAGAAGATGAGTATGATCAGTATTGATGTCAATATCCCGCCTTATTGAAAGTGAATCTAAAGAACTCATTTCAACTGAACATGAGCATGCTCTCAACCTTACAATTAAATATGGGAGTTTGGACATACCTTGTCATCATCTTGTAACGATTTATATACTCTTGCCCATAGCCCCGCCGTTCCATGAGCTGCAAGCAAGAATCCCAACAACAAAATTTCATGAGTAAGTCTGAGAAAACTCATGGTTAATGTTACTCCTTTTGGCGATGAAAGTAGCAAAACTAAAAGAACACAGACAAATACTTCCAAAGATCATGTTACATGGATAATGTCTAAGACATAAGCTTCACCCAACCAAGCCTTAACTCAAATTAGTTGGGTATGCTGGAAAAAAAAAGTTCGCGGAGACTTCAGATGGAGGTACATATATCTCTTCGAGCATCTAAGTAAACTACACATCCCTTTCTTTGGTAATGGTAAAAGAATAACATACCAAATACAACTTGCACATCTCTAGTAATCACTAACTTGTGATAAATTGACTGTCTTGAGATGTTTTTACATATGACAAATATTAATAGTGTGTGGATTGGATGTATGAAGATGTTATTACTAGATAATCTACAAATTCTTAAAAAATATAAGTTACACCAAATACAGCACCATTTCAATTTGAATATTGAAATGAAAACATGAGGATGTAAGACTATAGGTCTCAAACATTGAAAAAGTAAACATTCATCCAGCCCTGCTGGAATTTGTGAGGAAATTTCATTAACAAATTTGTTCCAGTTGTTGGAAGGAGAAATGTGGTTTTCAGCTAGTTTTGGAAAGAAGGGACCAAGTGGAATAAGTTCGGAAATCCTCGTCACTTAAAAATTACTTGAAGCATGTATAATATAGGCATGGACATAGCTTTTCTCACCTGTTACAGATAGCTAAAACTAAAATAAAGAAATAACAGACTTGGAAACTGTACCCTTGTAAGCAGAACTAAATCACTTCAAAGAGATACGAGTAGTAAAAAGGAGAAATAGTTAAAAATGGACCTCAAAGTAATATACCTTAAATAAATTAGCTTCCAAATCAGACTGAGAGCTGCAAACAAATAACATGATATTTTAGAAACTCATATAAAGGATAGCCGCAAGATGGTAGGAATTGGAAGATGTGATATGATGACATACACATCCAGAAGGCTATTATCTATTAGCAGCTTCTTGAGTTCAAGAGCAATTTTTAGGGCCACATGATTAGGGATCTGAAAACAAAACTTATGATGATTAACTTAATGTCATGTTAGTTGGGAAAAAAAGGATGGAAGCAGGTAATAAAGAAAAGAAAATACGCTTCACATAGAAACAAATCATCATCAAAGAGATGCTTCAAAGTTGAGACGGAAACCAACACTGTAAAGCTTCTGGCAGGTATGAAGAATGTATGACATAAGTAATGTAGGACTACCTAAATAACATGTTAAAGACCCAACTTACTGAGCAAGTACCATATGTGCTTATTTTATTAATGATTCACTTGATTCTAGTTGTTGATGTATCATAACTGAAAAATAGCAAAACACAACATAGTCATCCAAAATAAGCATGCTAAGTTACTTCTTTTATCTTTCCTCAAATAAATAAGCCAAATCCAAATGAGTTCTTGAACTAGTTAAAATGCTCTGCATTTCCTTTCCATATCTAATGGGTCTAATAAAAATTCGACAACATTTCAACCACCTCTTTTCCATGATATAACTCCGCATAGGAATTACTTTCACTCAAGATAGGACACAATTCTCTATATAATATGTAAACATGATTTTGGACATATTACTAGTGATAAAAAGTTAATGATCTCAATAGAGATCATATTAACAGAGAATTGGAATGATTTATGCATGCATCAAAGCAACAAAAGATTTCAACTTTTACATCTACATCAAAGAGTTTGTATATTTTGGAATGAAACTGATATAAGCTGCTGTGGTCACACTTGTAACAAGTCAACCATTTCACTGACTTAAAAACAAGATATACTAAATGTGCCTTCTATTACCTAAGTACATTATCTATCATCATGCATATCCCATGCTTGGTTCCTGTCATTATAATTTTTTTAAGTTCTTCAATAGTGTTTGGGATCAATAATGTTCAATTGTTCATGTTGCAATAACCCTCTTGTTAGATTTCTTGATTTATCGAGGTAAAAGACAACTTAAACAATCAAATAGGACATACATATACAACCTACATGTGTTTGCAATCTTAACATCTTTTAAATGAGCTAAAAATTTCATGTGTTTGTTTGTATGCAGAAAATATAAGACACTTAAAGAAGGGATATCAGGGCCATAAAATAGCACAACCACAAATGCCTGTGGTAACTGCACTCTCCTTTTGTACAGATGATAGCTTCATTTTTCACTTAGACATCTCATGAATTGTAAAATCTGCTCTTGCCTCTTGGACACAAGAACCACCTTTTCATTATTGACAATGTTAGGTAGTTCCTTCTTACTGTTACTAATGGGAGAGCCTCACATATACATTATATAGCATGTCATATGGGCTTGCGGCCTCTACACATTAGGTTACAAGCAACAATGGTCAAATCAATCTCTGTTAAACATGCAAATACTTCCATATCAAAACCAACAATTCTGAACAAATAAATTGAACTTTTTGTCCCAAGTCTAAGATAAAGTAGGTTGAAGGCAAAACCTTAGTAACAGTCAACATTCTGCTAAGCAAAAATCTAGAGAGCACATAGTAGTGATCAGCATTATCACCCAACCATACTTTCACCTGAAATCAATAAACAAAACCCAGAACCAATACAATTCAGTTATTTGTATGTATAACTAAGAAGAAGAATGAAAGCAATGCTCTCTTAAATCCAAAATATACTCCACTTTGAGCATGTAAAGCAGATGCCTGTTCAATTTCCAAATTGATATGGGTTTAAAGTTTCAAGAATAAATGGCCAACCACGCTAAAAGACGACAATAATTTTGGATAAACTTTGTAAGAAAATCTATATCAGCTTCGCATTTTGAGTTACTTCCTTTAAACCGATATTGGGAGTGAATTCTAAGGGTATTCTTTTCATTTACATGAGAGCTTTTACGAATTTTTTCTGTTCTGTAAAATCATGCATTCCGAGTACGGAACAACATTTGCAATAACCAAAATTCCGAGAACTTATTGCAAAATAATATAACAGAAACAAGAAGTAGGAACGAATCTAAAGGATTATATAAACAATAAACCTTAACGAAATCGTATTTGGATGAACCATTACGAGTGCCTGCCGGCAAAGGGAAGTCATTACTAGTTTGTTGCTTCTCCGATTCTTCTTCTTCTGGAAAGAATACTTTGTTGGAAGAAGATGATTTTGCTTCGGTACTTCCGCTAGGGCTTGCTATTAACACAGATTTGTCCTTCTTCATCTTCTGGTTTCTAGCTCTGAATTACAGCAGAGAATCGAATATCGATCATAAATCAGTGATCAAGTAGCGTGATTAGCCTATATTCTTCGACTCTAGAGTAATCGAGCGAGATGATTCTTCTCTAGCACGGTGGAATCAAGCAAATCTTCCCCCTTCCAAATCGAAGCAGGTCTCAAACACAAGATGAGTAATCGAGAGAATGAGCAAAACAGCGATGACTTGTCCAACTTTTAACGACACATTTATAATTTTTTTCCTATGGTAATGACATTTATACGAATAAATAAAACGTATCTAATAAAATAACATATAGACCTCCATTCACAATGCTAATTGATAAATACATATATGTATATATACATATATGTATATATACATATATGTATATATACATATATGTATATATACATATATGTATACATATATATACATATATATATATATAGATAGATAGATCGATCCATTCAAGAAGAACTAAATAGTTTTTGGTAAACGTGAGATCCAATCTCAACCATAAATCAATAGATAAAGTAGAAAATTTATAATTTTGAATTAAAATTTTAATACAAGAACATTTTAGGTATTTTTTCTTTTCTTTCCTCTCTTCTCTCTCCGTCCTCCGGCCACCTTCTTCGTTGTGATACCTAAAAATATTGACTATGTTAAACAAAAGATACATTGTGATACCCAATCATATATAAAATGCATTGTGATATCATGTGTTACATCTCCGATCGACCACACAAACGACCTCAATGTGATACCCAAACACATATATATGATGCGTTGTGATACCATTGTGGTATCACTGGAGGACGGTGACCAGAGATAAGAGAGTTTTAAAATACCAAAAATATTCTTGCATTAAAATTTTAATTCAAAATTACCAAAATTATAAATTTCCAATTTATCTATTGATTTGTAGTTGAGATTGAATCTCACAGTTACCACAAACTAATTAGTTCTCGTTTGATTAGGCCATATATACATATATATATATATATATATATATATAGGTAGAGATTTAAACGAGAACCTCTGTGATTTACGAGAACGAGAGAACAACCCAATAATCTCAAACTTTTTAATTAATAAATTAATTTATATTAAATATAAATAAATTAATAAGGATAGTAATGTAATTAGGTAATTTTTTTAATTTTTATTTAATTTTAATTAATTATAATTATCCTTTTTTTTCCTGGATTGATCACGTTCGTTTTCACTCTCTTCTCTTCCCTTGTGATAATTGTGTGATTGTGTAACCATAACCCATCAAAACCATAATCAATCAAGTGTAACCATAACCTATCAAAACCATGAGTAATCGTTGTGATAAATGTRTGATTGTCTAACTCTAACCGATCGAAACCATGATCAAATTGAGTGCTCAAGTATCACACCAAATTGTTTAGTGGGTTTCGCCCGTAATCGTTGCGATAAATGTGTGATTGTCTAATCCTAACCTATCGCAACCATGAGTAATCGTTGTGATAAATGTGTGATTGTCTAACTCTAACTCATCGAAACCATGATCAAATCGAGTGCGCTGTTATGATAGTGATATCACTTGATTATCGCACCCATATCACACCAAATCGTTTAGTGGATTTCGCTCATAATCGTTGTGATAAATGTATGATTGTCTAATCCTAACCTATCGAAACCATGAGTAATCATTGTGATAAATGTGTGATTGTCTAACCTTAACCGATCGAAACCATGATCAAATCGAGTGTGCTGTTATGATAGTGATATCACATGATTATCACACCAAATCGGTAATCGATTTCCTAAGTTAACCTTAGCCGAGCGAAATCCTTGTGATAATTGTATGATAATCACATGATTATCACACCAAAATCGTGTTTAAATAAGCGATAACCATAATAGCCCATTATGTTATCCAAATTAATTGGTTTAGTGTGATCATGTTTTTAAAATTTTATCACTTTGAATCACAATATACCCTTTTGCCTCTCAATTTTTTTTAATTGTTTTAATTTCATTTTTAATTTAAAAAATCATTTAATTTTTATTGTTATCCCAATATGAGGTTAATAGGTTGTTATCGCATTTTCACAAATCACAAGGGTTATATATTTTGGAAACTGAAAAAGAAAATAACGATTTGGATATAACGTTTATGGTTTTTTGTTTTTTATTATTCCTAAAATTATTGTTAGTAATATATAATATATAAGCAATTTCAGACAGTTTCAAGTATTAGAATAACTTAACATAATATGAGTGTTCTTATATTATGGTTATATAAATACAATATCAACTATTACTAAGAATTCTTATGAATCTAATTATTATGGTTATATAAAAGCATATCAACTATTACTATGAATTCTTATGAATCTAATTATGTAGATAGACCTGAGGGCGACTTACATATAAGGCCACAGAACCACAGCCTACTCGTCGCAATTCATATGTTGTATTATGTTACAAGGTTTTTAATTTTCTTTTGTAACAACAGGAAAAAAAAATCACTTGGATGGTAAAAAGAAGCCAACCCTCTCATAATTATGTTTTAAGAAACTATAGTCTTTACAAATATTTATTTTATTTTATATTATGTGAATTATTTTATGTCCCCATCTGAAAAAAGAATTCAAATCTGCCTTTGAGATAAGACATGCTTAATCATAATCTTTTAGTTATTTCATAACCATCATTTTTTTTCCATTGGTTGGGATTACTCGCACTCTACTCCAAACATCCTCCTTCTGAATTAGTTGGTACCATTACATGACAGCCCAATCCATAAGCATTTGGTGATGTCCCATTAGATTGTTCGATCTAGCAGAATACCCAAAAGTATCACCTGAAAAAAAAAATATATATCAACGAACAGCATATAAAATTTAGACAACAAACATCTAAAATACATGTTTTTAACACGTTTTCGCATGACATATACAACTTGCACAACAGATGATAGTATCTAACGTTATAACCGTCAACACTTTCAATAAAGGAAACCAAACCAAATAAAATAAAACGAATTCAATGAGTTAACTTGAATAGCTTGGGACATTATCAATCAAAAGAGTAAATGCTAGATTGTGATTGGCATCTACGAAAATTTGCACAATGAAGCTATAATTTACTTAACACCATTAGTAAACATGATATATAAATGAAGCATCAGCAGCCACAACATAAAAGAAGGCCAATTCGCGATCATCCAGGCGATTAGTCATAACCCACAAAAAAGGCCAATATCCTCTAAAATCAACTTTTCCTTTTGTCATCCAAAGGAGAACCTTGAATTGGTTCATGTTGAATAACTCCAAATTCGCAGTTTGTTATAATCGGGTTTCAGATAACCTGGGTCAAGGTAAATTTTTACGTGATTATTTGATAAATTATATGATGATATGCGTGAATGTGACAACAATACATGATACATGAAATAAGTGCATACATGTTTGGATAATATGAATATTTTATTGAAATAGTGGTACCTTAGTAATGAAGCAAATATGTTTTTAAAATAATAAAATCCACACCGTCATATCCAATTTTATATTATTAAAATTCTCCACCGCCTAGGTGAGGATATTTAAAGAAAAATTTGGATAAAGTTATCCTTATCATTGTCATTCTTGTAAGAAAAGAACCTGTGTGTGAGATAAAGTGTTCTTCAAGAATTGTTGCTTCAAAAGTACTTGAAGATTATGTGTTAGAGTAAAGATTTTGCTGTGTGTTTATCATCAAGAAATCTGTTTGATAAGGTGAGTGGTTTTGAAACTAATTTCCTCATATATTTGTGTATCAACTGTTGAGTTTTGGTATTGGTTTTGAGGTTAAGATGGTAAGCTGTCTTCAGCAGTTTTTATGATGCTATTGTTTTGGAATATGTTTCTGGATAAATATGAAACAAAGTTGTGTTCTTCAACAGCCTTTGAGAAGTTGCTGTTTGAATCTATTTTTTTGGGACTGTTTTGGAAAGAATTAAAAAGTATCTGGATTTTAAAAACAGTTTGAAAGAGTTTTACAGAAAAACAGAGTTTTAAACTGTTTTGGGAGATCAGGTTGTTCTTGAGAATAGAAGGTTTTGAGTATAAACCTATGTTGAGACCATGATTGGTTTGGGAAATTATGAACAGGTTCACTCTGACATATATGACTGAGGTCTGTCTTTGGATGAACTACTTCATACGAATTAATGGGAGGATATAAGGGTGAAACATCATAAAAAGGGATTATTGGGAGGATATAAGGTTGGTCGTTGTCTGCGTGGCCTAACTCTTATTATGATATCTATTAAAGTTACAACATATTTAAGTTCTCATTTCTTGGTGATTTGAGGATTTAGAGATGTTGTCTTTAGTAGAAATGATGGTAATGATGTTATGGGATTGGAGATAATATGGTTCATGACCTTTGGTTGTGAGTAATATGCTTTGGATAAAAGCATTGATTATGAGGAAACAGAGGAGCTCTGGTTGTACCTTGCAAGGAACCAGAGGGGCTCTGATTGACCCTCATAATAGAACTAGAGGATTCTAGATGTTGATTTAAAAATGATGCAAAATCTTTTATAAATTATTAGTTTGAAAATAAGCTTTATATTTTTGTTATATTTATAGTTTTAAAATGATATTTTAAAAGAGTCTTTATACTTAGAAATTTCTATAAAACAAACCAGAAGGGCTCTGGTTGGTTTTCATAAATACAACCAAAAGCTCTGGTTGAGGAACCAGAGGCTTTGGTCGACTAACCAGAAGCTCTGGTAGAAAGACCAGAGGAGCTCTTGTCATGATTATTGAAAAATATTCTAAGTACGGTTTGGAACCAGAGGCCCGATGGACACTTTGGAACCAGAGGCCGATGGACTGGAAAACCATTATTTTTCTAAATATTAGATTTTGAACAAGAGGCCCGATGGACTTAAACATGATGCGATTCTTTTATTATTCTTCATTATGATTGAGAGATTCTTTCATAAATGTTTTTGGTGATCTCACCCTGCATAGCCTGAAAAAGGGAATCTCACTAGACTTTTGTCTAACCCTCATTTTATGTTTTAAAATATGTGTGCAAGTAATACCAATTATAATATCAATAAGGGAAAAAACATTATATGATTACTTCCCTTATGTGCTTAAATGTTGAAGACCATATCTAGATGTGTTTTGGAGGAGAGCAATGCTAGTTTACAAATGCATGTATTTTGGAATTTTTAAGTTATGCAATTTATATCGTAAACTTGTAGCACATACTCTTGTAATTTTGGACCTATGTGGGAATCTATGTATTCAATGAATGAATTCTATGTAATATGTAATGTGTGGAGATTGGGGTGTCACACAGTTCCAAATGTTGAAACTTGAAACTTCTTGAAGAATTTATCGAGTCAATGAGCAGAATCTTGAACTGCTTCATATTAAAGACATGCAACCTCCCAGTTTCAAACGGTCAGATTTGAATCTATTTGAAGAATTTATCGCCTTGTTTTCCCATACCAGAATCAGAGAGGCTTGTTGACTGAAGAGATGTGTTACCTGGGCACCATTAGAACTCTTTAAGAGCAGAAAATAAGGCGAATAACACAAGAGTAAATTTGTCACCCTTTATGTTTTTACATGATATGACTTTGAGGCTTTCGAGCTCCTTCCATGAAAGCACCACAGCCTCAAGACCTTGTGTTGTTAGCCTTGAGCATCCTTCTAGATAGACAAACTTCAGCCTCCTGCGATCAAACAAACTACAAGTTATATGTGATTCGTTAAGTCTTCAATTTTGTGGGTCCCATCACTTATCTCGTAAAGGGTCCCACATTCACAATCTTTGTTTCTCCTCACAACATAGAAAATAAATGAAAATGTTGAAATGTTAAATGACCAAAAACTGAGTGGGCAAATAAATGTTACGCTTCAGGGCACCTCTCCATAGGTCGTCAGTTTGAATCTTATTGAAGATTTTCCTAGTTGTTATCTCCAAGGCCCCACATAGGATTAGTCGAGATGGGTGCAAGCCGACCTGGACAGCCACAGTTACCCAAAAAACAAAAAGTAGTGAACTTAACCGATCATAAATCTCATTTCAGGTGTCTTACGGAACATTAACCAAAGCTAAGCAATCTTATGGCCTTCCAACACTTAATTGCCTAGAAAGGATTAAGCAGAAGCATTACTTGGTTCATTATAATATATAATATGTTTACTATTATATTGTGTAGCTTACACCTAATTAACTTGTGTATATTACAACTAATTAACTTGATTAGCCTTGATCAAAATATAGCAATAAATAGAGAGAAATGGGGGAACAAACTGACCCTTTTCACCATTTAAATTGGTTAACCTTTGTGTCATAATGCCTTGGCTAATTCTCATGTAAGCAACCAAAGAAATTGAAGCAGATTTTGAAAATTTGGCAACAAAAATATACCTGCAGAGATTTGCATGGAAGAACATGCCATCATTAAATCCCCAACAATTCTTGAAAACAACTTCGTGCACATCTTGACATATATAAAACAACACCCGGACACTTTGCTTAATTCTTAACTGGCATCTCTCCAAATGCAATCTTTCAAGCATTGGGCAAAACCCCAAGTGCTCATCAATATCAGGATCTCGATCAATCCCCTTGCAAGAAACAAACTTCAAAGATTTCAAATTCTCACAATAAGAAAGAGCTGATAACCACCCATAACCTCCCTCGCATCCTCGAAGCTCAAGCTTCACTAACCTCTTACACCCTTGTGCCAAGATGGTTAACCCTCAATCCGGAACCAAATACCTATAGAACCCATCGACAACCCAAATCAGTTTCAGTGTCAGCAAATTTGTAAATGCTGCTATCCCACATAATACATTATCATTACATCTATGCAAAACCAACTCTTCAATTGTAGGGCATTCCTCAACAACACTTAGTAACCCAGTTCACTACAATTCACAACCACAAGTGTTCTCAGTTTGGGGTAGATACTAGCCAAAACTTTCAAACCAAAATCAACCTCATCAATAGGTAATAAAGAATGGTCATCGAATAAAAATTCATTAGGAGCCATGGAAAAAGACCCGAATTCGTGATTGAACAGAAGTCCCAACTTTTTAGTATTACTGTTGGAAACTATAGCTCCATAAAGTAAATCAACATGTATAATGTTAGGGAATCTAAAAAACATACTACCATATATAAGAAAATCCCAATCAAAAACCCTGAGTGACCTTACCAAGCGACCTTGGAGATTCAACCACCATTTTGAGCCTAAATAATTCGAGTTCCTTTGTGATTTTTCTGAAAGTTTCGAGAGGATATGAAGGAGTATCTCATCAGAAAAGATTGAAGTGAGATCATTAGATACAACAATTTGGGGGAAATCACAAGCCATGGTTTTGGTGGTGTTGGTGGATAGTTGTAAAGGAGCAGAATCAACGGTGGCATCGTCCAGAGGTGGTAGCGGACTGGGTAGGCGTTTGTTGGACAAGGAACGTTGGTGTATGGAAGCAAAAACGACATGATGTTTCTTTCTTCAGCCAGAGATTTGACCAATTAACCGGTGAGGGCTTGTTAAGGTTTTGATTCCCCAACGACATTGGAAGTCCTTTTCTTCTCCTTGTAGTACAGGTAGCTCCCATCTCTTCTCTGCTTCACATTCCTCCCAAAATCTATTGAATTCGATGGAATTACTTGGTATTCATCTTCAATCACCTGAAGAAAATAGTAGTGGGTTCTTGGAAATTTCTAGTAATTACTGATATTTCGGTTTCTAGACTGATGACTTTCTCGATTTTGAGGGCAACTACCTTCAAAAATGGGACCCAACGTTTAAATCACATACAATTTCGTCCTTTTTTATTTTATTTTAACATAGTCCATTCATGCATTATGGTACGTTTGTCGTGTGCGGATAAAATTATAGTGATTTTGCTGTTCATCATCACTAACTATCTGATCTTGTACAAATTTTAAATTAATTACATTTTTAATTATTGTGGTTGTTGACTTATTGTGCTTTCGATACCCCTGTCTAAAGGTTATTAGGGGTTGTTCACCAAATTTTCTATTAAGTCTTGTTTGTATAAATTTGTCTATCTACATAAATTTATGTTACTGTTTACTTTTATATCTGAATCAACAGTCTGAATAACATAAATGATCAATTTACCCCTGAGTATGAACAACGGGCTATTTAATAAATTGTTGTTCATTTTTTTTAATCCAAATGATGTTTCTGAAACAAAAAAATCTATTTAAACATCAAAACATAAATTCATTGATATCATCTAAAGATCAAAACGTAAATTCATTGATATCATCCAAAATCAAAACATAAATTTATATATCAAAAAATCAAAACATAAATTTATAAAATACTTAAAAATCCAAGTTCAAACACAAAGTAGCCAAGTTCAAATACAAATACCTTAAAATTTAAACATTACTGACCAAATTATTTGCAATTCCATCATGCAAAGTAGCCATATATTGAGTGCTATTAGCACCCCATTGGGAAATATCCAATTCGTCTTCTCCATTTCCTTCGACTTCTTCTTCGTTGTTAAATATAGTATCCTCATTGCACTCCATAAACAAATTGGTCTTGATTATTATATTTTCGGATAAAATTATGTATCGCAAAGCAATCAATTACCACATTTATTTGTGTTGTAAATGGAAAGGGAGCCATCTACTTTAAGATAAAAAATTTCGCTTTCAAGACACCGTAAGCATGTTCAATAACATTCCTGAGTTGGGCATGTGCCTGATTAAGCCTTTCTTCTTTAGTCAAAGTACATCGACGTCGAAAATATGCAACCAATATCTTGTGTTACGATATGGAGCAAAAAATCCACGAGCATTGATGTATGCAACATCACCAAGATAGTATTTATCTAAAAAACCACTCGTATCAATCGTATAATATACAAATAAAAAAGCAAAATACAAATAGAGAATGGTATATACCTTGTGGTGGAAAGGGAAAACCAGATCTTGGGTTAAAAGCAACTTCCTTAAATATTCTAGAATCATGCGCTATACCTTCTCATCTAGCCCAAACAAAAGTGAATATCATGTTGAAATCACAAATTCCAAGAACATTTTGATAGCATCGATCGCCTCCTCTTCCCCTGTAAGCAGTTTGATGACTATCTGACACTATTGCATGTATAAGGGTACCGTCTAGCGCACCTATTCCACCCTTCATTAACAGAAAAAAGATTATACATATATATATATATATGTGTGTGTGTGTGTGTGTGTGTATGTATAGAGGAGGTTTACTTTGCAAACCACGATATCTATACAAACCATACAAACCTCATCCAACCAATCATAATTTTTCATTTTGTTCATTTTTTTAATTGTTAGAGGTTTATTAATCATTTTTATTGTGGAGTGTGTTAATCATGGATATTATTATCTTCATTATATTAATTTTAGAGAAATACATGAAACAGTTTTATTAAAATTTCATAACCATATATGAAACAATTTCATCAAAAAAGTATTATAGGAAACAATTTCATAAGATTAAACAATTTCATGAAAAAGTTTCATAAGATTAAACAATGAAATCGACAGATGAATGTGGTTTGCATGGTTTATACAAATATGGGTGGTTTGCATTTGATTGCTCCGCTATATATATATATATATATATATATATATATATATATATATATATATATATAACTTAAAAACATCAATAATAAATCTTACCGAAAATATTTCTCTCAAACGTCTATGATGACTCGACATATTTAAAGTTGTATCAGAAGTTGTTGGCACCACTATTTCTCTTGCGTATTTCATCATGCCCATTAAAACTTCACGGAAACAAACATGAACAGTTCTTGTAAAGCGTTGAAAATCTACGTTTAATCACTTTGTAACGCTTGTTATGGCCGATAATCGTCAAAAACATCGTCATTTTCTCTTCGACACTAACATGTCTACTGCCTTTCACCCAATTTCTTTGTCTAAAATGATTGCATAACAGTATATATGCTTCATGTGAGAGGCGCATCAACTCTTGACATTGCGTACTAGGTACGGTTAATAGCTCTTGGGTGTACACATATTCAATTAGTGCTGAAGTATTATCGAGCATTCTTTCTATTCTTTCTGAAGCATTTCTCAGTCATCTTACACACACACACACACACACACACATATATATATATATATATATATAGAGAGAGAGAGAGAGAGAGAGAGGAGTGATCATATGAAAACCGCCCTCATTTGTGTAAACCGTGCAAACCACCTTCATCTGTCGATTTCATTCTTTAATCTTATGAAATTTTTTCATGAAATTGTTTAATCTTGTGAAATTGTTTCATATAATACTTTTTTTTTTGATGAAGTTGTTTCATATATGGTTGTGAAATTGTTTCATATAATACTTAATGAAACTGTTTCATGTATTTCTCTAACATTAATGAAACTGTTTCATATATTTCTCTAAAATTAAAATAATGAAGATGATAATATCTATGATTAACACCCTCCACAATAAAAATGATTAATCAACCTCTCATAATTACAAAAAAATGAACAAAATGAAAAATTATGATTGGTTGAATGCGGTTTGCACAGTTTGTACAAATTGAGTGGTTTGCATTTGATCGCTCCCCTATATATATATATATATATATATATATATTAGGATTACGATGATCATTTCTTCCTCAAAAGTCAACATATCTATTCAAATAAAAAGGCATATTGTAAATCCAAAAAAACCATTATAAATCTAAAATCAATGCAAAAAATAAACATGCTTATCATAAATCCAAAACCAACGCTTATCAGAAATCCAAAGCCACATACATATCATAAATTGTCACCAAAAACATCATATGTCCAAAAAATGTGGCACCAAATTGTCATCCATAAACATCACAAGTTACTAACACGAAAGTCTAATTCATAAGTCATTAAACACCAAAAAAGTTCTAAAAACGTGGCACCAATCCTTACTGATATCCTTGTTTCGTCCCAACTGTTCTCACCCATTCTTTGGCTATTTCGAATGGTATTGTCATCCAAGCTTCTCTATTATGGTTGTCCGTAAGAAGAGAAAAGGCAATACGTTACAAGGAGTCATCTTTTTCCCACCCAAGCTCGTTCAAGTTTTTTAGGCATGTGTCATAACTAAAAAGCTCGAGGTTCCCATATTTCGAACCCATAGTATCTAAAAACTTTATAAGCTTTTCGTCAAGCTCCGAGGTGGCTTTTGTAGTGCTTTTACCCTTTTGTTTCTCAACCGGAGCACGGGATGAACAAGGTGTTGAAGACATGGGAGCTTGATCACTTGATACATTGATCTCTTCCTCAATGACCATAAAAGGCTCGGTGGTTGGCAAAGGGTCTTTTGATGACGGTCCATGACCTCCAATACCCGTGGATATACTACCCTCAAATAGTCATGCACACAAGTCGGGATATGGAAGACTTGTAGTCCTCAAGGGTTCAACATACCTATTGGTTTGTGTTAAAGAAACAATTATAAATATGCAAACAAAATAAAAAAGAATCGAAATAAAACAAAATCTAAAGTTAGAAAACGACCTCCATCTCCAACTATCGTTCCTCAAGAATCAAGTTAAAAGTGTTTGTTGAAAGATCATAAATATTGCCGGTTTTATTTTTTATTTTTAACCAAGCACCATATTTTTATTTCAAGTAATCGAAATGGTTCCACATTCGCTTTTGACTGACAACAAAGTTATGTGTGTTTTTCAAAGTCTCAACAATTTTCTTCCATGAAAGTGCCTTCAAGCTAGCACCCTCATTTCCATTCTACCCAACTGCTAAAATACAGCTTTCTAAGAAAGATTTCACAATATTGGGATCCTTCCATCTAATTCTAACCCTTTTTTTGTTGTTGTATTTCATTCGTTTGTTCCATACCTAAAACAAAGACAAGATGATAGTATTCTATAACGAACATTCGAGCTATTAAACAAGGAAAAGACATGATAACATTCTATAACAAACAACTAAACCAACAAAAGAAATCTAGTAACAAGTAATCTAGTAATCAAATAACAAGTAATCAAAGAACGAAAAATCGGTTACGTCATTAGTCCATTTTATTAATTATACAGTCAAACAACAAGCAATTAAACAACACCTTCATCTGAGCGAAATCAAACAGAAATAGAACTAGAAGGAGATATACACCAAAATCAAACAACAACAATCAAGAAATCAACAACAACATTCAACAACAACATTCAAACAGCAACATTCAAACAACAACATTCAACAACAACTTTAAACAACAACTTTACAATAGATTTTGGCATTGGGTTGTTAGAACAGCTTATCAACTTTGCAGTGTGAGATACAATCGAGTGTGAGAACTATGTTGTTAAACAACAACTTTACAACAAGTCAGTAACTTTACAAGCAAAAACAACAACTTTACAAGAAATCGTTGTGCGTAAATCAGTGTGCAGAACTCAGTGTGCATAACTCATGAAATCTATTTGTAGTGTGAGATACAATTGACTTGCAAAATCTAGTGTACATATACAATCAATTTGGATAAGCGATCGATAAGCAATCGAGTGTGAAATAAGCCTATTTTTTGCAAAATCGAGTGTGCAGATACAATCAATTTTAGAATCAAAGTGTGCAGAACTAGTTACATTTGAGG